TGTGTGTGTGTGTGTGTGTGTGTGTGTGTGTGTGTGTGTGTGTGTGTGTGTGTGTGTGGAAATAATCAGGGCAAAATAATAACTGCTAATTGGCCTGAGGCTCTGTTTCCCCTCCTGTCACCACACACAAGACACCTGCAGAGGAGTCCTGTTAACGTCAGTGTGTGTGTGTGTGAGATGAAAAAGAGAAGGTCACACCACAAAAGGAAAAAACCCCTTGAGAGCTGGTGACTCGGCAGAAGCGGAGCGGCAGAAGAAGACTGAAGAAGACGACAGGATAGAAAATTCTGGAAGCTGGATCCCCTCCACCTTCTCACCGAGCATGTGCAACCTCACCTGTTCTGCTGACTGGCTGCCTCCTGCTGCTGCTCCTGCGTCTCCTCAGGCTCTGGCACGGCAGCTTGTGCCGTGCTGGGCGGTGACTTCACCAACGCACTGGCAAGGGGAGGGAAGGAGCAGAGCACTACATGGGAGCTACTAGGAGTTAGAGAGGGAGCAAAGGAGGTCAGAGAAGGGAGGGCGGGGTCTGGTTGAGCCGAGGAGGACTCCTGTATCGCACCGGGGTCGCTCCCGAAGGAGGGCAGGAGGAGTTCGTCAAAGCCGGGCGTCAGGGTTCCCTCAGAGTGGGAGCGGTGTAGTGTGGCAGACTGGGTTTGAGTATATCTTGAGAACTCGTCATCGAAGACACTGCTTTGGTTTGCCTCACCTTCTTCATCGAGCGTCTTTGGACCGCAGCTGTCCTCGGAGTCTTTAAGTGCTGCAGGGAGAACTTCTAGACCAAAATCATCCCCCATCGAGAACTTTGTCCCGTCATCGCCTCCACGACGGGATTCTTCAAATCTGTCGGTTTGGTTGATTTCTCTGTTCGACGACGTGGATGCACTGGTGGACTCTTCTCGGCCCAAAGCAGCGTCAGCAGTTGTCTGAATGTCGCTCAGCTCACCGCAGAGCGTCTCTTCGAACTCAGAGACGCTGGAGGACGGGTGAGAGGCACAAGTCTGGTAATCTTGCGAGTCAGTGCTGACATAAAGACTTTGCAGGAAGCTGCTGGAGCTCTGATCAGACACCTGAGTGTGCAACAGTGTGCTGTCGAGGTCGAGGCCGGGTCTGGTTTCACCGAAAGCCCCAAATGAGACTGGAGTAGACCGGCTCGCCTCCCGACGCCCTAAACTGGTGTCCAACAAACGCTGCTTCAGATCAGGGGAGGAGGTCAGGATGTATAACGATGGGAGTGTGGAGGAGAATTCGTCGTCTGGAGTCACGAGGATGTTCACATGTTTATTGTTGTTGTCAGAACTATCATCAAACTCCTCAGAGAAATCCACTAAAGAGCTTTCAAACAAATCGGGGCCTTTTCCTGCACTTTCATCATCAGACGGTAAAGAGACGTTGGATTCCAGTTGTAGTTCAGAGAGCTTCGGCAGCAAGTCGTTGGAAATGTTAAGCGTCTCGGTATCTGCACTTTCTCTTTGTGTCTCTCTCGTGATCTCGAGCTCCTGATGTGGAATCAATGGGGACTGCGGTGCCTCTGAAGTGTCAGGACCTCCTTCCCTATCCTGCGGCTGGATAACAGTTTGCTGTGCGACATCAAACGCCGTCCAATCATTTGACCTGTCGCTAATGTCATCTTCAGATTCTGAGGGCTTTGGATTTTGAGACACGGCGGACTCTGGATGTTGGATGTTGCTCTCAAAGTTCCGTGCCTCAGCTTCCTCGAAGGAGGATGCAGATAATTTATCGGGATAAGAAGAAAGACAGGAGAGGAACTCGTCCTCGACCGAGCTGCCGAGACCCGACGAAGCAGGATCCAGGGAGCTGCTGTTGAGCTGTGTGGATGAAGTGTTACAGGGGGTCTGGTGCATGTTAGTGTTGGGTATATTTGTGTTAGTGGTACTGTTAGCTCGATTAGTTTCCGTGCAAGCATCAAGGTTTGATAGATCAGCAGGATTCAAAGTTGTGTTGTCGCTCTCAGTGTTGATGTGTTCTGGGATTGTTTCAAGGAACTGTGCAAATGCGTCAGTGTCTTCTTGGGACGGGTCTTTTCTGCAGGGTTGGTGACGTAGTGCGTCATTTACACTCGTGTTCTGATCCGTTATGGAGAGTAATGTTTCTTTATTATTGCAGTTTTCCAGTGGATGGTCACTGGGCTTGTTTTGCTGTGTTTTGCAATCTGTGCTCAGGTCCTCTGGAGGCTGCAGCCTGCCAGCTGCAAACGCTTCAAAAGACTCGTCCCACTCTGAATCTGGCTCCGGCTGCCCAGCGGACATAAAAGTGTCGGAGAACTCCTTGCCTAAATGTTTCTCAACTTCGGCCATCCGGTCACTCGTTGCAACATCTGTGCCAACGAAGGAGTCCTCTGTGGTTGGGCTGTCGTGGGTCAGAGTGTGGTTGGGGTTGCTCGCCTGCGGAAAGAGCTGAGCTATGGGGGGCCGGGAGCTGGAGAGATAGGGCAGAGGAGGCAATGGGGGTGTTGGGGGCTGAGTGGTTAGCACGTCGTCATAGAAAGGGTTGTGCTGGAGGACGGAGAAGAAAGGGTTGCAGGGGGATAGGGGAGGTGGTGAGGTCTGTGAGCGGCAGAAGGGGTTAGTGTGATGCAGCGGAGAAACCGGAGAGGTAAGATCGACCGGGGGACTCGAGGGGTGGTTACTAGAGGGGAGGGGATCAGTGGTGGGGTCTAGTTTAGGTGACACCACCAGGCTGTGAAAGGAAACGCACAAAGTCCTCGTGATTAGTGAGGACACACGACTGTACGTCTGCAGAAGGTTTTCTGTCTCATTTCACATCTTTACCCAGTATTTTTACTCACTGCTTGTGTATATAAACAGTTTAGAGCCCGAACAATATGGATTTTTTGGGGGCAGGTGCAATATTAAGGAGTAAAAAAATTCCAATACCTAAGTGAGGTTTGATGTTTAACATTAAACCATAAATTTTATCATAAATATCTATAAATAAAAACACAAATACACACACATCCCCGACAACTGATACATCGGGTCGGGTTCTAAAACAGTTTTGACTTAAATAAAAATGTAAAGTCGTTTTAATTCCCTTAAAGGTTCAGTGTGTAGAATTTAGTGACATCTAGAAAACATCACAGGGAGTATTTTATATTAAATTAGATCTCTTTCACCTAAATCTTACACACTGGACCTTTACCTTTTCTTATTTGATTCGATCGCTGGTGGTTTTGTTGCTTATAAACCAGAGTCTCTACAAACTAAAACCAGCTGTCAGAGTAACTGGAAACATTTTATAATCTCAAAATGTCCTCATCTGTAACTGTATTAGTTGCCTCATACTTGTTTTTGTATATCTATGCATCTAAAACACATATTTCTGAGCCTCACCTTTGTTTTCCCTGATATTTTGCGGGAGATGCAGCTGGGTGTAGTGATTACTTTGTGCTACCGCTGCCAACTTGGCACCTCTCCCCCTCTGAGGATCTGAGCATGTGGTTGTGTAAGCGATGAAAACGTAAAGTTACAGCGCTGGCAGAAAGGTATTGAGTGTACTATGGTCCAGAACAGCTGACCTCGCTTCAATCAGCAGGTGCTTATCAGACCATTATTCTGTTGTGGATGGAAATATTATGACTGTGTGCTTGTTTTTTTTTTTCTTGTCTTGGTTCAGTGAACTGATAAAAAAATTTAAATAATTGTCAATAAGGGTTTTTGGAGAACTGGAGTAAAGATTTGATTCATATTAGAAACCAACACAAAGAAGAGGGAGAACGTACGGAACAGCAGGCGACAGCTCCCAATTAAATTACCCACTTCAGATTGTACACACACACACACACACACACAGACACGCACACACACACACACACACACACACACACACACACCACAAGAGACCAATACTTGTTCCAGCCCACATCCTCATCTTTCCTATGAAACTGACATTCTCACTGAACCGTGTTACAGCGTTTGCGACGCTTCAAGCTTGATGGAGCTAATTTCACGAGAGCAGCTCCGTCCTCCATCTGCATTGCAGAGACCTGCTGTAACCAGAGACTGAGACACCAGGGGCCGAGGACAGACGCGCACAGAGCTGGAGGCAGCGTCTTGCCGCCATGCTGGCACGCAGGAAGTGGAAAGTAAACAACCACCATGATACGTGTTCGACGTAACGACACCATGGACACGGAGTTTGAAACTGAACCCTCGGGGACCAGGGGGCATTTTAAGAATTTACGTCTTTAAGTTTTATTTGAGAAAACACAACTTTACTTGATCCTTGTGCTCAGATTATTTGTCTTTAAATTATTAAAATAGGTTCTAATCTCTGGGATTTAATGGTGTTGGTCAGATTAGCCATATCCCTGTTTACAGTTCTTATGCTAAGCTAGGCTAACCATGTTATGACTGTATATATAAAGATGGAGGACACGACAGCTCCCTAAAAGTGAAGCCAATGCGTCTCATTCGCCCCCTGGTGGCTGGCTGCAGTATAGGTTATGAACCCTGCTAAACCTCCATGTTAGCAGATGGGACATGGAGCAAACTAAAAAGTCAAAGTAAACGTTGGATATTTTGACTTGATTGCTGGATGGTGGAGGGAAGTGGAGACGTGTGGTCCATCTTTACAGTCTCATGGTGAAGATTTCAATTTTAGCACTGAACCGATTCTATCCTCTATGTATTTTAGGGTTTAAGGCATTTACCTGTAATTTTTTTTTAATTCAAGGCTTCAAAACGCCTCCGAATTCACAGCTCATCAACAACTTGAGTAAAGTTGTGTTTAAACGTTGCTGCCAATGTGTCAGCCTGCACCTCAAACACATTCCTTCACGCCAGCATTTTTTTAAAACCAGAATACAACTCAAGTACACAGATCACATGCGATAGGACCTGAGTGTTCGAGCGGAGATGCAGGGGACTCTTAATGGTGCAGGTTCAAACTCTCAACGGGCTCAAGAGCACGTAAGCTGCTTTTCACCACATTGATGTAAATCATATTTATACTGAAATGTGATGTAAGATAACTCATCACCTGCTGAACCCATCAGTGTGTGATGAGTTGTCTCTGTGTTCACAGTGTGTCTCTCACCTTGGTTTGCTGTTTGAGTCCTTAGATCCAAACCAGCCCTTGTGTTTCTCCTCAGTGGCAGCGGGGCCCTCCTCCGACCCGTCCTTGATCTGACTCTGCCCTTTCCCAGCAGAATCACTCCTCCCGTGGGGGAACAAGTTCCTCCTCTGCTTCTTCCCCTGGCTGTCTGACAGAGCCGCCTGTCCCAAACGCTCCTCTTCCTCCTCACCCTGCATGGGGCCTCTTTGCTCCAGAGCCGCTGCTATGGCTGCCTTTTCCTCCTCGTCGGGTTTGTCAAAGGACCAGCGGCGCCCGTCGCCCACAGGGGCTTTGTGGGGGTCTGCGGACGCCTGCGGGCTGAGGTTCTGTAGCGACACTGACACGGGCAAAGACTTCTGCAACAGTCCCAGGCCTAAGGAGTTGACGGGTTTTCCTGAGCCTGGGTCCAGGGGCTGGACTTTGTAAGCATGGCTTCCGTTAACGCACACAGTGGGCTGAGGCACTGCTATGGTGATCTCACCGGCCTCGTCACCGGAGTCACATCTGAGCGAGGGCGACTTGGGCGACGTGTATGTGTGCTCTGTAAAAAGAGAGGAGAGAAACGGAGATGGGGGGAAATGGAGGCAGGTAATCAATGGCTTTGCTAAATTTAATTTACAGGCAGCTAAGTCGGGTGATAAAACATTGTAATGTCTTTGCCTTTCACAGCAGGGTTGGTCAGAATCTCTGGATTAATTCACCTCTGTGTGATTACTCAGTTCTAGTATAATGGGAACTGTTGCTCTGTGCTTCACTGTGCAGAGTCTCTCTCTCTCTCTCTCTCTCTCTAACTCTGCAATCAGGCGATTTAACAAAGCAGACGAGACTCAGAGGAGCTCGAACCTCCGCAAAATCCACACGGCTGTCAAAACACAGCAGCTCCACATGGAGTATTTTCACTCACATTTAATTAAGTCTTTGTGGGTCTATTGTGAAGTGGAGACGCACACGTTCCCCCAATTTATTTTCACTTTGTGAGTTGATTGCAGCAACACTGTGGTCGTCCCGCTGGAGGATAAGGACACAGCATTTTCTCTGTCGTGATGGTTTTTAAGTTTTACAAATATGAACCAATGTATTATTATTATTATGATCACGCTAATGAATTAGCTCAAACAGAATCTAATACAAATATAGTAAAGAAATAATAAGAACATAAAATTAAAGGAAAAAAAAGTGGATTATTTGTGGCCTCTCACTGAAATCTACCGTTGGACTGAATGTGAATCCAAACATGGTCTATCCTCTGGGGATTCTCACCTGGGGAGTTGTCTGCCGTCAGGTTGCTGCTGTTACTGGGGGAGTTGGACAGGTCAGAAACCACCACACTGATCCCCGCTGTGGGACTGAGGCTCCCGCCCCGCGACGACTCGCTGCTCTCTGAGCCGAGAGATGTGCTGGAGCGAGTGTCCGACGACTTCCTCAGCTTCCCTCTCAGGAAGAAGGTCCTCATCTTGCTCCGCCGGGCCTCGCCCCCCTCGTCGTCCTCGTATTCCTCCTCGCCTCCTCCATCGCTCGGCAGCCGGTGACGCATCCGATACAAGGACCCGTTTCCACTTGTCTGGACGGCCGAGGAGGAGTCCTCCTCACTGGATCTCCTCTTCCCCCTCATGCGTTCTTTGAGCTTATTGAAGGTGGAGGTGCCTTTGTCCTTCATCACGAGGTCGTACATGCTGGCTGTCAGGTTGTTTCTGGTGAACTGGACGGTGACTTGAATGTCTCCTCGCTCCTTCTCCTTCTTCCCAGTCTTGGAGTTGAGTCTGTACCACCTGCAACAGAAAACATTTAACATTTTAAAGTGTTTCCCTGTAGCCGTCTGACAAGTCGATATAATTAATCAGCAGCGATTCTGATTATCGATTCACTGTTTGAGTCATTTATCAAGTAAAATGCAGAATGATTTCTGGTTTCAGCTTCTGAAATATGAGTTTCTATCATTGTAAAGCTGATGTCGTTCTCTCATAAGCCACGGTGTGAGGGCCGAGGCAATAAAACAACATCAGTCACTATCAGAATATAAGTTTGATCAATGGCAATATAACAAAAAGCAGCGAGGAAGCAGAGTGTGGGGGTTTCATTTATCCTCCTCAGATCTGTTCAATGTTTTTTAAGTGTTTATCCTTTCAACTTTGACTCAGGAGAAAAAGTCAGTTTAAACTTAAAATAAATTATACATTAAAAATATGTTATTCCCAAACACAACATGACTCAACAGGTGGAACTCCTCGACAGCTTCAATCTGTTTTAAAGATCAATAACTACATAAGAAAAGTTGTTTGAATTCATCACCACTCTGCTTTGTGAGTGACTTCTTCTCCATGGCTGTCGAGGATCATGGGTAATGTAGTGTTTAGACGTGTCTCATTGATTTTATCAGAGTCAAAGCTCAAGTCATTTAAAAAAAGTGATATTAGAAACTCCAGTGTTTCTGATTTAAGAAACATTTAGAGGGAAATAATTGGAGATGTTACAGTGACTGTCGACCTCTCACTCCTCCAATATTAAAACTGACATTAAATTCTTCAGTGTTCTCATAATTAAATTATATTAAAATACACATTTATTGTTTTTTCTTTTTTTTTTTTAAACACACACAAAACTCAACTTGAGTCATGAGTCAGTTTGGCGAGTGGGGTCATAAAGTAACAAGATTTATTCTGTTGTAATTATAAAATGGGCCAAAATGTCGTGTGTGTGTGTGTGTGTGTGTGTGTGTGTGTGTGTGTGTGTCTGCCCTACTAACGGCACACAGCTGTGTGTGGTCAAACATCCCACAATGGGGAGGCCTCTTGTTTTTTAATCATTCTGTGTTAAACAAGAACAAAGAAGTAAAACAATGGCCATCTCTGATTTAACAGTGCGTGTCCTACATATAACAACAGACCCTCCGTAAAAACTGATTCTCCCCCTCCTCTGAATTCCTTCACTGCACAGAGCAGCAGTTCTTAGAAACCCTGCTCCTGCTGCGAGGAACAATGACACGATGACACCTCCCTGTGACTCATGGGAAAGTCTCATCTGGTCTGTTGTGACTGGTTTTAAAAGAAAAAGAGGAAAATTCCCCCAGCGAGCACACGTTTCCGACACCTGATGCCAACAGGGAGTTTTGCGTTGCAGCGACAGAAAGACAAACCAAGAGCCAAGACCTACTTTTATTTTTTCACTTCCTGTGCTGCCGGGCTATTTTCAAATAACGCCTCGACCACAGCGACTCCGAGTTCCTGCATCGAGAGGCTGAGTGACAAACACCTGCCCAAATTCACAATCATTCTCTGGTACAAGTTCATGTTCTGTAGCTTCGTAACATCATATAACTAGAATGGCACTCTAGTTATATAAGCACCTCCACCGAGGCCCAATATAAATTCAATCACGCTGCACCAGATTCCACACACACATAGATGTCAGGTCCCTAAATGTGCATTATTTGTTTCTTTGACATTGATTTCAATTACAGGTCGTGCGTTGGTAAAACTCAGAACTATATACAACTTTAATGCAGAAATATAACACAGGATGTCAGAGATATACGTGGGAGGGAAAGTAACACTTCAGGGACGACTGCAATATCCTGTTCTGTCGAGTTAGCAAGAAAATCTAAATGTCATGTTGTGGAACGTCAAATGTGCGACTGCGAAATGTTACAAGAGGTTAAAAGGTAAAAGCTGAGAGATGAAAGCTCCAACATGAAAGGAAACTAAAGAGCTGTTACTATGGGATTCTGTACAATATGAATCACATCTGTAGTTGTGAGAAAATCCCTTAAATACACATGGTGCAGGTTTATTAAACAAGTTTCTGCTGCAGAGAGAGTGAAACAACGTTTTTACAACCCTGAGCAGTCTCAACATAATATTTTGAGAGATTCTTGCTAAAGGTTTTTTATTTTTTTTCTATTTGAACTTACAGACATTTTTGGAATTTTTGAGGTTCCAGGCAGCTTTATACTTTGTTGAACTGAAAAAATGATAAGTTACACGTGCAGCTTACTTTTGGCTGCAAAGGAATGAGGACAAAAAAAAATAAAACTGCAGAGATTTGATAAAAGCCTTTGAGACTACGAAGTCTTATACAAAGTCAGTGGCTTTATTTCCAGGTTCATTTTGGTTTTGTTTGATCACAAATTAAAAGAGACAAGAAAACTCTGCTCCAACGAACACACATATTAGTAGGTTGTCATATAATCATCATCATCATCATCATCCAGCCACCGACCTCGACTTCAGCCCTGAAAACACTGTGACACCAACGAAACTCCGCGGCCACGAAAAACACTTAGCAAAACAAACTCCAGAGCTTCCAGAGCAACGCAGAAATAACAAGCAGGTGGAGCCGCAGGACAGAGGAGAGGAATGCTGCTGCTGCTTTTCATAGCCGCACCAGAACAAAACATCGCGTCACATAAATACACGTTAACAAACCCACATGTCATTTATACGCGTCAAAAGGGGAAACAAGAGGAGGACCGACACTCCCATGTAGAAAACAAGCAGCGGTGAAGTTTTTGCATTTGTCAAACTTGACAGAGGCTGACCATTATTCTTAGATTATATTAATCCACTGAAGTATTAACATCTCGTCAAATCAAATCCTGTGAGCAGATTATCAAGCAATGAGTAAGCAAAGTAAATTCCTGAGCTTTAAACCGGTTTGTTCTCTTCCTTTCTTTTCTTTTTTTTTTTTTATTATTTGGAAGCAGCACAAATATTTTTGCTTTGTGTCGGCTCTTGCTCCTGCGACTACAATTGTATTCGCTGCCTCAGTTGCCTGTTAGGTGTGGACTCCAGTTTCACACCGATGCTCCAACAATAGTATCAGTCCTCCGTCTGACAGAGCTCTGGCCAACTCCCTGCAGCCGAGGTGGGGCTCACATTCCAAACACGGGACCAGGGAGCGATGTGAGGGTTTTCTCCTGCAAACGTCAACTTACTACTACAGCCGCCAGCATTGATTTCCCCGTCCACACATTGTAACTATTGTTAGTCTCGCTCCAAAGACTCTACTGACACAAACCTCCAATTTTGTGATTTATTTGCTTTTTTGTCTTTTTTAATTCGACCTTTGTCGGCTGAATAACAGAGGAAATAAAACAGAGGAGATCATTTGCTTCTGCTGACTCGTACCATCTCGTAAGCTCTTTTTCATCATCCACGCATTTTGAAGACGATGCAAAGGCCTATTTATACATGTGCACCTGGGCTTGTGGGTCACGTAACGCATGAACAAGCCTGACGACGAAGAATGTGAACGTATATAAGAAAGTAAACGTGAAGCCTTAATACAGAAACTGCAGCGCAGAACAAAAACAGCCTGTGCACTCGTGCAGAACAGTCTGTCACAGAAGAGGACAGCACACTTCCACCAGGCTGTTGACCCGTCACTGTGAAGCATTGTGGGTAATAAACACCGATCCGCAATAACCAAATGTTCAAACTGATTTGTGAGCATGAGTTGTTTTTAATGCACAATCCCATTCCAGAGCTGCAGAGCATGACAGGATATCTGCTTCCCCATCTTGCAAAAACAGGAAATCACAACCCTCCACCCCGTCCCAGCGTGACACCATCTCCTCATCTCGGCCTGCTCACTGAGGAGGAGATAGGAGGGTTTTTATTTTCTCTTCCAGCTGCCGTGTTAGTCTTCAGCTTTCAAAGTACACGTCTTCTGTGGAGCAAGTAGATCCCTGTAGAAACCAGCCTCCGAGGCAGGACGGGGCTGGAATAACGAGACAAGTAGGCTATCAGCTTATTTTATCCAGCGTGTGCTGGGTCTCTGTGGGGATCTGTGAGCCTGGGTGGCATCAGAGCCAGACAAGAGAGGCTCTCTGAGGTAAAAGTGGTGCCAAGGGCAAAGGATCTGTGTCAGCTGAGGAATTTAGCGTCTTGTTCATGTTGGAATTTCAGGTTAGATTGCTCTGAGATACACTTTTCTTCAGCAGAGATAGTTTGTCACCACTCAGTCTGAGACAACCATAAATATGTGAGGTGACAGCTGCTTCCAGTTCTGTGAATCCCCAGATATCGGGGAAGCAAAGGAGGTGTCATGTGAAGAAGCAGATGCTGGAGTCTACTGGTGAAATTTCCCTTAAAACCATCTTGGTTATTGTCTTCTTGTTGTTGCCGTGAAGAGAACAACCGTCGAAACGCTACAGAGACAGTTGGTGTCTGTCGCCTTTTCCCAAAAACAAGCCGAGTGCACTGTGTAAACTTCCACGTTGGTCTTTTACGTTTTATTGCAGCGATTAAATATCTGTACCACTGAGAAAGAACTACAACACAAGTGCTATGTATGCCACATGTTAATGAGATCCCCAGTTCCTCATATCACTCAAATAACTCATCATGGACTATTCATCAAACTTATAAACACAGTAACCATCACAACACCAGCTCTATTTATATTTGCTGAAAATTCAGAAGCTTTAAACCAGGTTACAAAGTTATATCTTTGTCCAAAGTTAGTCCCCGAGAGACATCAGATCTTTAAATATTCTGTCTGCCAATTAAACAAGCTGACTCAGCAGAAATGTTACCAGCAAACAAACCCAACGGTGCTGGACAGACTGTAAAAGCTGCGGCCGACAGCCAGAGACGCTCGACGACTCCCGGGCAGCAGCAGAAACTCGATGTGTCCGAAAAAAATTCAAGGCAGGTAAACAGTGCCACTTCATTTGAGCTTCATTTGACACTTCCCATTACATGTCTCTCGCTGAATTAGGCCAGCGAACCCTCCAGGAGCACTGTGGGTAACGGCGCGGCCTGGATTCCTG